AGCATGCATGTACGGGGAAGACACCATTGGTAATACCGATTTGGTATCATACAGATGATGACACCAACAAGTAGGATACAACGTACAATGCAGACAGGCACGGTGGAGTTCTTTGTAGAAATTCATTGTTCCTGAGGAACAATGCTCCTATTCCGCTTTCAGAGTACTACTCTCAGTGGCACTCAGCTTGTCTGGCACTCGTAGTTCCTCGGAGCACGTCATGGTTCTCAACGTTAGCTGGATGACGCATAAGTCGTTGATGTGTTACTGTATCACAGTCCACTACCTTAGGTTACCATCGTATTTCCCTACTACTGACCGAGGCGTCCTGACCTCGCCTTGCTACGTTGGAGATGCACCCGTTACTCGCGGCGAAATGGCATTAACCGCGATAGGATAATCGCAGACGCCGCGAAGTGCTGATCGACTCCATTACATCCGATGTAATACATAGCGAAAAGAACGTTACTGAAGGCCGCCTTTTCTGGAGAACTACGCTGCGTTTCCCGGTATACCTTATTTCTCGCGATTTTCGGATATTGAATGACCGCATTCTATATGGACATGACGGTCACCTAGCTTCTGAACACGACATGCTTACGTGAGAAATCCTATACTTACTCTCCTCATATATGCTTGACAATTAAGGATATTCGAACTATGTGAGCTGAGCTCACTGAGCTCAGACTATGCGGAAAATGTAATCTGAACGCAGTGCACACTGTGCACTGCACAGGTGAGCTTCGTCTCATCTAACCCCATAATTCGTTCGTCGGCTGAATGCAGATAAGTGGGGTGAAAGAACACAGGTGAGTCACCCTGTGCTAGGGAAAATCCGTAGTAAATGAGCAGGGGGCATTGTCATGGATCGTAGACCATGCACCGATCAAAGAGCAATGAGAAAATCGAATGCATAGAACCTACTCAATGAATAAAGTTGAGGTCAATACCAAGGTACAGTTCTGGACATATGTCCAGGACATGTGACCTATTCTGTGATCCTGAGTCATTGACACATATCATGTGTTGAAAAGCAAACAATCAGACATCAGTCAATTCATGGCTGGAAGCGACCCTTGGACCGCGTCGTCTATGCCACAGTCACCTTGGGCTATTTTGAAGGTGCCATGGTCACCCCATCCTTCATTCCAGGAGTTCATAACCAGCCAATAATCAACTCCCTTCTCGGTACCCCAGCCAATGATCTCAACAGAATGATCCCCAAGGTATCCGCCACTCGTATGCTTGTAGACACCAGACTTGTAGGAAGAAAAGTCTTCATACGTAGAGAATGAAGCCGAGGTCTGACAGAGGATGAATTGGACATACATACTGCTCGAGTGAAAGAAAACTGGTCATACTGGGCCATTGGTCATGATCTCTTTCTTGATATTGTCTGTTCCCTCGAACAAATAGGGTAAGGCACGTGCGGTGAAGTGACGATCTCTTGAAACTATAAATTATGATATATTACTATTAATCACAACTCACTTGTCCCGCGGAGTTCCGTATTTCTCATTGGGACAGCGGTCCAAGCACGAAGGTGTGTCGTAGAGTTTCTGATGGATAGAAGC